TTATAAGAATTGCTGCAAGCAAGGCTATATTAAAGCAATCAAAACAATGAAACAAAAATTGTGGCTAATGCATATTAGGCCCCCAATGATCCATATGGGAAATAGCAGTGAGAGTTACTAAAGGTAAATAAATCAGCTTCTTTTTCTATTTCTCTAAGTAGTAATACAAACCTATAAATGCTTTTGTAATGAATGTTTGTTTTTCTTTACGTCGGCAATGTACTAGTATGTCCATGTGGTGCTGTATAATGTTTGTAAGCAACCGTTGACCTGAAGCGCTAGTTCTACATTAAAAATCCTTATGCAGTAAATCTTGCAAACAGAAATCAGCAGTTCTTTTTATTTACTTATGGAAATGTTAAACTAAAATTAAAATGATTGTTTCCTATTTGAGTGCTAAAATATTTATTTATTCCCTAGGAGTGCACAGAAAAGCTTATGTATAACGGAAGCTTTCCGTCCTGTCAGCTTGTATTCACCTATGATGGGGATCGGGATATCTGGAAAAGAAATGAGCGGGCAAAACTCAAGATTAAAGGTACTATAAATATTTTTGTTGCTTCTGTGCAGACAAGGCATTCTCTTGCAAAAGTATACAAGTTTCCATTTCTAATGGTGACACAAGCATTCACCCAGTCAGCCACAAATGTAATGGTTATATTACCTGGGGTTCCTTCGTGCCCTCACACAATAAGCAGTCAAAGGCGGCTTGAGAACTTACCTGAGTCTTGCTAGGTGCTTGTTGCTTTCTCTGGTCAAGTTAAGTTCACAATGCTATGCTGGCTCATTGTCTGAGAGCGTCAGCTGATCGTCCTATCAGTTAGTCTGATCTTAGCTCAGTGGCAGAGCTCGTGAGCAAATAAGGCAGTGACTGGCACCAGGCTGGACCCAGATAAGTTGTCTAACTATTACTAATTGTTTTGACCACTGTGGGAGGCCACCAGGGCACTCCTGTCACCGTTACATGGATCAAACTAGCGCCATTCTCAAACGAAAATAACTGGCCACTCACATAAACACACAGACATATATAAGTTGCCAGTCACTCAGATATCTATGTCAGGTGCCGATCCAGAGCTCAATCTCTTTAGGGATATATTCAGATGAGATTATGGTTAACAGTAGTAAAATGTGCAGTTTTGCGTACTGTAGTAACTTCATACACTCTGAATCTTATTAAGTGACAAAATAATGTGTAAACAGGCAGACTATTATTGTGGAGCTCTATAACACACTCCTATGCATTGCACATTAGTGTGGAGCTCTGATAAACCTTTATATATATATTTTACATTCCTGTTGAGTTCTTTAAAACACTTATTTAAAAAAATGCATATTACACCACCAGCAAATTAATCCGCAAAACTAGAGACGCTTAAGAAGATAGTGGAGGACTGTGCTCTTGTCTAATCTTCTCCTTCTCTGGAATTAGTAGGGGCCAATGAGGCAGTTCGAGTGATAGAGGAGGTTCAAATAAGGGGGATTGAGCTGACTGACACTGTGTAGGACTTTTCATACATCACCCATGAAGGTGTTGAGGGAGATAGCAAGTATAGTTGTCTGTAGAGGGCAGAAACGAAGTCCACGAGTCTGCTGAACAAGTCTGGAGTGTTAACTTGTTCTCCAATAGCGGCCCTGCGTCTACCCTCCTCCATTATAGTGCAGTATGTTGGTATCCTATCTCAAAAGGCACTGTATGTTAGTAGCACTTTGGAGCAATACCACAGTCCTCCACTATCCTCTTAAGCCTCTCTAGTTTTGCTGATTGATGGTCTCAAAGCATTTCCTCCACTCCTTACAAATATATACATGAAGCACAGACTATATACTACCATTAAGTTGATTTTATTTTCCTCTTTTTCGTGAGATCAAGAAGTCTGTACTTTAGTTTAAGCTATAAAAACGAATTACTGAGATATTTATCCCAGCAATAGATACCCCTATCTCTGCTAGTAGGCAGAAATATTACTTTATTTTAGTTATTTTTATTGTTGGCATGATATAAATAAAGCCTTGTAATTTCAGAACAAATAACCAAGTATATCTGCTTTGATACTAGGTTGTATCCAGTTTTATTACATTTGACTGTAATTAAGTCTAGCTCAATGCTGCAACATTGTTTCTCCATATACCAATTTGGAGAGTTCTATTCAATGTCTCCAAGGTTCCTTTTTGCATATTACACCAATTTACTAACATACCCAAGCTAATTAACTATTTGCATCTCCTTTGTTAACCATTCTTCATTTACACCACATGTCAAGTATCCCATTTCTTCGTCTCGTGCTAAGTATCCCCTTCTCCCAACACTAACTTGCCGATTAACCCTCCCTTTACCAATTTCATCCCTACTGTATTTCCTTACCAACTGATGAGTTCCCTCTGCTGCCAATTAACCCCATTCCTTCCCCAAACTAGATCCTCATATTGAGCTGTAATTAACCCTTTGCTGTAAACCATGAACCACTAATTTCCGTGCAATTAACACCTTCTTTTCCCAAACTATATCTCCACACGATCCTCCAGTTAACCCCTTACTCCTAAACACTGCCCTGCAGTTAACCCTTCATTGCAAAACTAGAACTATTCAGTTTCCTGTAATTTCTCCAAATCAGACTGCACGTTCAACTGGCAATAAGCCACATAATAGCTCACAAGTGACATACCTGTAAATGTTCTTTCCATTCCGTTTGCCACAGACCCACTCCCACAGAGCACATTTACAGATTGACATACTCATGCAAACACTACACTCAGAGACAAACATTTACAAAATTATTCTCTCATACAGACAAACATATTGTAATGTATGTAGTAGACTCGCTATGGCTTGTCTAGTCTGATTTGCCCTGTGGTATATACATGTTCATGCAAGATGTGTACAAGTGAGTACATAAAAATACAGACATTCATACATAGACACATGCTTATCAATGTAATTATTTTTTATCTATGTGCCCCTGTAGCTTGCAAGACAGTCTGTTATATAAGTGTGGATTGTGCTGTCAGTGTGTCAACAGGTAGCTAAGACATGTCTTCCACTATTTGCACTCCTGAGCACTTTATTCAGTCACTGAACCAGAAAAATGTGACATCTCTTCCTCAAACAAAAGTAGATAAATATGTTTCTCTTCTGATCTGCACCACTGGCATATGCAGACCCACAGTAATTACTCGCAGTCCAACAGTCACTAATCAGTCAGAGCTCAGCATCCAGGATTCCCAGCATGCACCCAGACTAGCTGAGAGTTGGTACTGCAATGGAGCATTTACTGTGATCTGCACCCAAACGCTCCCCTTCTAGACCACTAAATATTTTAACCCCCTCCCTCCATAAAGCTATGCAGGGGGTGACAAAACCCGACTCTCACAAACACATTACACACGCTTTTCACACAGCCAGCAAAAATCTCATACACACATTTACCTGTAAATACTTGTATGCATTTAATTCAAACATTTGGTGAATAACCATGTCCAGGAATGATTTTGTGTGTGAAGACAAGTAGATTGGCCTACCGCGTTAGTCCTGTGGTCGAATACCTTTTTTTTTTTTTTTCTCCACACCCCTGCTGATTGTTCGCTATGACTACATTAGATATTATGGTATTTTTTTTTTATTTTTTTTTTAGCTAGAGAAGTACTAAATGATGAAATACCCTCCTAGTTTAAAAGGGACAACTGCACATTGAAATCTATAACCTTGTAGAGGAGTTAAGGAAAATGTGGCGTCAATGTGTTCTATTTACACAAAATGTCCAAAGGTGATTTTTACTTGCTTCTTAGTGTTGACTCCTAATATTCCTTTGTTCATCGGGTTTATGAGTGATCGAGGACATTTATTTCATAATCATTTGTGTTATTATATGTCTGCTTGTTAGAGCAATGGTAAAATTACACTGCCTTAGAACTCGTAGTACAGGGAAACCAGGTTCAAATCCAATCAGACTACGTTACCAGTAAGTGTCTTTGGCAAGATCCAAGATATATACACCCACCTCAAACCCTCATATATTGTAAGCGGCCTGCACCCTCAAATATCCATTTTCTATCGGAAAATGCTGCAGAATATATTGCTGCTCTATAATTGCTAATAATTATCATTTTCAATGACAGTATATGTTAATGCACTTTATTTCATTTGGTTCTTCTCTTTTTTTTTTTTATATTTACGCTTATGTAGAACTTCAAGATGCTGACCTCTTGCCGTATGCGGTATCAGGACCTGACAAAGATCTGGATATGTCACCATCTAAAAAGAAAAAAAAACACCTGAAAGAATTCAAACACCTGCATGGAAAAGAGAAGCCACATACTTCAAAGAAAAATGCGTATTTAGAGAAAATCACAGAGAAAAAGCTTAAGAAAAGGTGCAGCTTCTTAAAAAGTCAGGCTTTAGGTGAGGACTTTCCCAGAGGAGGTTCAGCAAAGTCATCAAAGCCAAAAAAAAAAAAACATTTTGACAACAATTTGTTCGGAGAATCTGCTGGTGAGCGGTTTAAGAAACAAAAAAGGAACAGGCGCAAACATAAGGGAGAAAGATATACTGCTGTGGATGAGAGTTTACTTATAATTAAACAGAGGAAAAAGAAGTCTAAAAAGAACAATAACTAGAAACAACACAGCAACAATACATTCTTCCAAACCAAGTTTATTATATTTGGTATGCTTTTTTTGTTTTTGTTTTGTTTTTTGTAGGGAGTGGGGGTGTGTGCCAACAACCATTTATAAAAGAAATATTCTGAAACACAGGTGAAGTTCAGGAATAATATGAAATTGATCAAAACCGTTTGGTTCATATGATCCTCCTTTTAATTTATCTTTATGGGAGCCTCAAAATAAATGAAGATATGTTCAGGGGTTTTGTTATCACATGGTCTTATTTTATGCATATCTACTTCCAAAGTGTGAATGTATTTTTTTCTAGTAATTCTAGTTTACCTAGTTCCTGAAATATTTTATTTGTTTTATGCTTTTTTTTTTTTTTTTTATATATAATTATTTTACTGTTTAACACATTGCTAGAGGAATTCCTGCCGAAGTATAAACCCGTTCTTTATCAATTATTTTGTAGGACTGGTATTTACCTTAATTACCATTATTCAGGGTCCTTGCATAACTACTAATCTGTTATTCCCGATTGTAAGGGAGCAAAAACTTGCATAGCATACTGGGCCAAAGAACATGACATTTGATGAAACGACGTACATTTGATTTTGGAAAAGTTGAAGATGGCCTTCTGAACTGAAGAGTCACGTGTTTACATATTTTATCCCAACTGCTCAGTATTTAGACGGAGAAAGAATGAGAGGTTCCTATTTTCTTTCAGTATTGTCAAGCTTTGAGAAGGCACTGATCGAGGGAGGCTTTGCTGGTGATAGGCATGCTGATAAAGATCTCATTCAATTTGTGGGGCATGGCTTATGCAGAAGATGTAGAGCTCCCCCCAATTTCCTACATTTATGAGAACTGCTACAGAAGACATTGAAAATGTGTTGATTTGTTTAATGATGAAACTTAACCAAATGCCTGGTGTTTGTGAGTCTCACAATAAGTCAATTGGTTTTAAAGAAACACAATATTCTGGAGTCAAAGTGATATTTTCCCTATTTTATACTTTTACTTTTTTCTTGAATATGTCAAGGTTTTAAAATGTATGCAAAAACATCAAATTGAAATAATAAGATACTCACATTTGATATTATTGCATTTGACTTAATGTCTTGGCTCTATAGGGTTTCATCCAATAATGACACTCCCATACAGTTTTATGGTCCTGAGCCTATCCCCTACATTTCTGCACAAAAGAGTCCATGGAGATTGTAGTTTACTTATCAGCTTTTATTGTAAAAACATAACAGATGAAGTACAACTCCCAAAAACTCTTCCTGTGCATACTCTGATGCTTGTTGTAAGTATGTGCAGAAATTATACCCACATTTTTTTATAATTTTTTTTTGCAATTTTCAAATTTGACTTTTTATTAACCCCTTAAGGACGGCAGGCGTGCTATGCTGTCCTTGGGGACCTGGCTCTTAATGCCAGGGGGCGGCATAGCACGTCCTCGCCGTCCTTTCTACTTACCCGGTCGCCGGCGATTGCGGTGTGGGGACTCACCTGGCAGCCCAGGGAGTCCCCCTCCTTCCTTTCCGGCTCTCCTGGGCCATGTGATAGCGAGGACCTCGTGATCACATGGACGGCATAGCCAGCAGGGGGAGTGTATTTTAAAATTAATATGTATTTTGATATCAAAATACACGTAGAACGAAATAATATATCTATATACATAAGTATATACGTATATATCTTTATGTGTATATATACCTATGCATAAATAAAAACACGTGTGTGTGTGTGTGTGTGTATATATATATATATATGTATATATATATATATATATATATATATATATATATATAATTCTACGTATATATTTCTGTAATAATTTTACATAATTACGTAATTTTATTAATTACAAATTGCGGGACCTGCCTGACAACCCAGGCCAAAAGTCCAGGGAATTTTATTTGCTAGCACTATATTGAACCCTGTAACTTTCCAAGACACCATAAAACCGGTACATGGGGGGTACTGTTTTACTCGGAAGACTTCGCTGAACACAAATATTAGTGTTTCAAAAGAGTAAAATGTATTGCAACGATGATATCGTTGGTGAAAGTGAAATTTTTTGCCCTTTTCACACACAAATGGCACTTACATGGACAATATTGTTGTGATACGTTTTACTATTTTGAAACACTAATATTTGTGTTCAGCGAAGTCTCCCGAGTATAACAGTACCCCTCATGTACAGGTTTTATGGTGTTTTCAAACGTTACAGAGTCAAATATATAAGGCTTGCATTTGTTTTTTCACATTGAAATTTGCCAGGTTGGTTATGTTGCCTTTGAGACCGGATGGTAGTCCAGGAATGAAAATTACCCCCATGATGGCATATCATTTGCAATAGTAGACAACCCAAGGTATTGCAAATGGGGTATGTCCAGTCGTTTTTAGTAGCCACTTGGTCACAAACACTGGCCAAATTGGCGTTTTAATTAGTTTTTTTGCATTTTTCACATACAAACAAATATTAACACTAACTTTGGCCAGGGTTTGTGACCAAGTGGCTACTAAAAAAGATTGGACTTACCCCTTTTGAAATACCTTGGGTTGTCTACTTTTGCAAATGGTATGCCATCATGGGGGTGATTCTCATTCCTGGGCTACCATACGGTCTCAAAGGTAACATAACGAATCTGGTGAATTTCAGTGTGAAAAAACATGTAACATGCTATATTTTACCCTGTAACTTCCCAAAACACCATAAAACCTGTACAGGGGGTACTGTTTTATACGTGAGACATTGCTGAATACAAATATGTGTATTTTATTGCAGTAAAGGCAAACAGTATTATGACATTCACAGTTAGAATGTCATGTGGAACTAAACAAATAAGTAAAATTCCTATTTTCTCCCATTTTTTTTTTTATATTTTATTTATATTAACTTATGTTTCATACCTAAATATTTGATGTAAAATGAAAGCCCTGTTTCCCCTGAATAAAATGATATCTTATAAGTGTGGGTGCACATAATATGAAAGATGCGAATTACGCCTGAACAGACATAGCGCAAATTAAATTTTTTGTTTACATTTTGTTTTGATTACAACTTGTACATTTGGCTCAGTCCTTAAGGGGTTAAATATTAGGTAAATATAAACAAAGAGGCAAACGTTATATTATGTTCTTGTTATTACAACAACAAAAAGCAAACATTGCCACTGTAGAGAGCAACTGGAATCCTTGGAAATTTGAAGCTAAGATGAAGATGGGAGATATGAAAGATAAAGAATAAAGGTAGTGAAATCCTAATGCAAAGGACATAATTTGATATCTTATTGAAGGAACATATAGCGTGAAGCCCCCAGATCCAGGTTTACCTTGAGTCAGATCTTATAGAAATGAGTTTGCGTCTGTACAGCTGTTGGTATCATCAGCATTACTGAGTGACAAGCCACAGACACCAGATACCTTTTGCCGTAGTGCAGTATTCGTGTCATGCAAGACTCCAATATATCATAATGCACAAAGTTATTGCTGGACACGTCTCTATAAATGTAATGCTTTGAAGGGTTAAATTGATCGGTACGGGATGCTATTTTGTCCCAAAAGTGACCCCAGTGAATGGACCCAGTAAATAATGAAGTGAAATTTGTTAGTCAAAGTTCTAAAGTTAGTAGTTATCTAATATAACATTAAAGCTTCCCCTAATACTACAAATGGGATGTTGCTGTATTCAAGAAGTGTAGCTGTATTTACACTTGTACTTGGCTGCACTTTTTTCTGCACTATCCTGCATCAGCAATGCAAATAATTTATTGCAATAATAATTACAATAAAAATGCAATGTTATACTTGTATGTAAAAAAAAAAAAAAAAAAAACACAAACATAACCAGATTTTATTGATTTTTTTTTTCTTATGATTTACATATGGTGAATCATGCACAGTTGTAGCTGACTGAAATTTTATTGGCCGAAAGTAAATATTATTGGATACATTTTTAGAATTATTAAAAAAAATTTGGGTAAACATAAATTTAAAGTGTGTGTATGTATGTATGTATGTAAATATAAAAATTTTGAAAATGTATCCCAAAAAATATTAATTTGTGACCTCAAGTAGTACAATATATTAATGGATCTTATGTATTGAAATAAATACCTTTTTTTTTTTTTTTTTATTTTTTTTTAATTAACACCTAATTCTAGAAACTGGTTTTGTAAGATAAAAAGGGAATAATACATTATAAATTATAGGTGAGAGGTTTGGAAGGAAGATTATAGCTGTAAAACTCTCAGGGCTTTTGAAAGAACTAGAGGCGTATAGTGTATATGCGTATAATAAAAACATCTGGACCCGATTTTCATTAAACTGACCAACTGCTTAGGTAATTCTGAGACATTTCTTCAAATGACACTGGGTTGGCAAGTATCTTTCCAGAGACCAGCTAGACTAGTTTTGACTGCAGTTAGAATATGTTGTGTAAATTCCATGTTTGCACCCCGCGGAATAGTAACTAGTAAAAAACATTCTAGACAGGTGGAGTTTTGATTCTGGTGTATTGCACAATAAGACTTTGCACGTTTGACATTGAATTTACTAAATATATTTAGTAGCGATCCTAGAAGCCTTATACATACATCTCCAATACATAGAGGAAACCCCACTAAAAAAATGTGAGTCCAAATAGTCGGGGGGACATTTTTTTATTTATATAAAACGATTTGTCATTTTTTGTTGTAGTATGAATATCTTGATTCATTATAATACTATATAAATAACATAGATTGCATGGTAGTATTTGTATTGCTGCCTTATTAAATAGAGTGGTGTGTGATTGATTTTCCCCACTTGTGGGGCATCACAGTAGTTGTTTTGTTGTTGTTTGTTTTTTTTTTGCCTTTAATATATATTTTTTTTAATTTGCTATACTTGTTATGGTTTATAGTAGAGAAGTGATGTGATCATATTTTTAATAGAAATAAATGTTATATTTATATTCTACTTTCGGACAGCATCATAATTTCCTGTTTGTTTCAACAGAGAAAACTCTAGATTTGTAGGTGCAACAAAATGATATACAGTTGGGGTATGTGTTAGATCTACATAATAGTTGGGTTTGCAAAGATGTTTTTACTATAAGATCATTGGGCGGGGTTGTTATATGTATTGAAGGAAACCAAAGCTTTTTTTTTTTTTTTTGTATAAATAATTTTTATTATTTCCTTATAATTTACAAATGCATATAAACATTTAATATTTATAGACCTCTCAAATGAAATTTATATAAATTGGCATCAAATACGATCAGAATCATAAGAAGGTCCAAAATGACAAACAACATAAAACACATAACATGACAATGCACCAGTCACCATAGTATTTATCCATTAAAATAATTATGTCTAACATTAGGAAGGAAGATAAAAAGTTTAGTAACCATATAAATGGCATAAGAAGATTTGAATATGAAATACCCCAAATAGTTAATTTCTATAGCTTTTTTTTTTCTTCCTTTTCTTTCTTTTTTCTCTTTCTTTTCTTTTTCCTCCCCTCTTCATTTCCCTTCTCTTTTTTACTTTTTTACTTTTTAAAAAAAAATCAAATAACATATTCAATCAAGATCAGTCAGTCTATCCATCCATTCTACTATCCAGCTACTGTTCTGATCAGCCTTTTTATTAATCCATTTAAGGCCCTGTTCCATTTTACACTTTAATATAATTAGCTTTTTTTTAAATTGGCCAACTAACAAATGCATTTTAATTTCCAATATCTGGCCAAAAGTAGTTTTGTTGCCACAAAAAAATGGGTTGTCATTAAGGCTTGCCTAGGGTGTAGAACCGGCCAATTTAAATGTAGAATTGCTATTTCAATTCTTTTATCAATTTTGAATTTCCCCAGGCCCTGGGGAACTCTTTATGAGGTAAAGCATACTCAAGATTCAAACTTGGGAAGTTTTTCATTATCCCATCTTTATATAAGTCTGAAACCTTATCAATGCCTCGACTTTTCAAGTAGCTAATGATAGATCTTGGATATTATTTTCCAAAACTTTAATACTAAGACTATTTATAATTATATTATTCCCTTCCATCTTTTTCTTCAAAAAAGACCAAAACTTTCCAAGATGACAATGATAAAACAATTCTCTCCTAATTCCAATTCTCTTCCAGTTCGGGTAATGAATATTCCATAATAAACAAGAGAGATCTTTTATCTGAGTCTGATAGCTCTCTATATGATACCAGCATTCATCAACAGCCGCTGGAATTTGCATCAAATAAATGTGGCTAATCATATTTGCATAATAATAATTTTTCAAAATAGGCATACCAAGCCCACCCCTCTTTTACTTTATATGCCTTATGCTGATTATTAATACAAGGTTTTTTCCCATGCCAGATAAATCTGGAGATACTCGTCTGAGCCATAGTTAGCCAGCTATCCGGTATTTGAATGGGGAGGTGTGTAAATATATATAGCCACTTTGGGATGATATAAGCCTTTATCGCATTAATCCTACCAATCCACAACAGAAACATAGTATTCCATCCTTTAAGTGTATAATTCATCTCTTTTAATAAGGCCATAAAATTTATTTCCATTATATTATTCACGTCTGGGGAAATTTTAATTCCCAAATATATAAATTCTGTATCTGTCCATACAAAATCATAACTTTGTTGCAATCGTGCTTTAGATGACTCATTCAAGTTAATACCCATAATTACGGTTTTATCTGTATTTAATTTGTAATTAGAAAATATTGAATATGCATTAATCACTTCCATCAAAGCAGGCAGGGATTTTTGAGAATCCGTAAGTGTCACCAATATGACATCAGCATACATACTAATCTTTATTTCTCCCTTAGAGATAGGGTAACCATTAGTGATGTCTCAAAACGGTTCGCGAACAGTTCGCCATGGACTCCAGTCAGCAGACACATTCCAGCCAATCAGCAGCAGACCCTCCTTCCCAGACCCTCCCACCTCCTGGACAGCATCCATTTTGAAGCTGCATTCTTAGTGAGCTGTCCAGGAGGTGGGAGGGTTTGGGAGGAAGGGTCTGCTGCTGATTGGCTGGAATGTGTCTGCTGACTGGAGTCCGCGGCGAACCGTTCGGGACATCACTAGTAACCATGTATATTGTTACTTTCTCTTATCTTAACTGCTAATATTTCTATTGTTAGAATGTAAAGTAATGGTGACAATGGGCAGCCTTGTCTAGTCCCATTTCCAAAGGCAAACCAGTAAGCACAAATATGTTGACCAATGGTTCTAGCTATAGGAGTGCTATATAAAGCTTTAACTGCCTTACAAAACTGTTCTCCAAAACCATATAATTCTAAAATCTGCAACAAAAAGCCCCAATCCACTCGATCAAAAGCTTTTTCTGCATCTAAAGCAAGGATGACTAGTTATTTTTGTTCTTTTTTAGCCAAATCTAGGATATCAATTATTTTCCTGATATTATTTACTGAACTATGTCCAGGGACAAATCCCACTTGGTCTTTAAAAACTGATTCAATAATATTTTTAAGTCTGGCAGCAATAATGGATGAAAAAAATCTTTGCATCTGTATTAATTAAAGAAATCGGCCTATAATTTTTTACATATGAAGGGTCTTTATTCTGTTTAGGGATGGGAAGAATATTTGCAGCAAGAAATTCAGCAGGACATTTGGCCAACCTAATAAAGTCATTGAAAGCTTGTGTCATATCCGTTACAATTTTATCCTTAAAAGTTTTCTAAAGGGATTCCCTGAACCCATCGCGTCCTGGAGTTTTTTTTCCTTAAGTGCATCAATAGCTTCTGTGACCTCTGATTCCTCAAAATCTCAATCTAACAATTCCTGTTGTTTTTTATTGATAGTAGCTGTGTTAAGACCCTTGATAAAATCTATCAAACTGTCTAATTTGGTGTTATTAGCACTATTACCGTATTTTTCGCTCCATAAGACGCACCTCACCATAAGACGCACCTAGTTTTTAGAGGAGGAAACCCAGAAAAAAAATATTCTGAACAAGTGTTTCTTACTATGGGACAGTTTGTTCAGAATATTTTTTTTTCTCCCCTGTCCCATAATGATCTTTAACCCCCCTTTCCTCTGTCCCATAGTGATTGTTAACCCCTCCTCCCTGTCCCATAGTGTTCTTTAACCCCTCCTACCCTTGTCCATTAGTGTTCTGATCCCATAGTGTCCCCCCCTCCCATTGTTCCATAGTGCACTTTCCCTCCCATAGTGTCCCCCTCCCCTTCTCCCATAGTGTCTCCCCCTCCCCTTCTCCCATAGTGTCTCCCCCTCCCCTTCTCCCATAGTGTCTCCCCCTCCCTTTCTCCCATAGTGTCCTCCTCCCCTTCTCCCATAGTGTCCCATAGTGTCTCCCCCTCCCCTTCTCCCATAGTGTCTCCCCCTCCCTTTCTCCCATAGTGTCTCCCCCTCCCTTTCTCCCATAGTGTCCCCCTCCCTTCTCCCATAGTGTCTCCCCCTCCCTTTCTCCCATAGTGTGTCCCCCTCCCCTTAACCCATAGTGTCCCATAGTGTCTCCCCTCCCATTGTCCCATAATTACTTACCTGTCTTGGAGCGTGGGCCGGCTTCACAGCGCGCTCCGCGGTCCAGGAACTTCTATTTCAGGTTCCGGTTTCCGGCGGGACTGAAAGGAAGTGTGCACACTGAGTGTGCACTTCCTTTCAGTCCCGCCGGAAACCGGAACCTGAAATAGAAGTTCCTGGACGGCGGAGCGCGCTGTGAAGCCGGCCCACGCTCCAAGACAGGTAAGTAAATCTTCACATTCGCTACATAAGACGCGCAGACATTTCCCCTCACTTTTGAGGGGAAAAAAGTGTGTCTTATGGAGCGAAAAATACGGTATATAAAGATGTATAATAATCATTAAATATCTGTCCAATATCTTTAGGGGCTTTGCATATCTTATCTTTATGTATTATCTTATCAATCCGATGCAAGGCTTGCCGGGTTTTCAATTTATTGGTCAGCATTTTATCTATTCGATTGCTTTTCATATACCATTTTTGTTCTAATTTCTCTAGGTTATTAGATATTCGATTCATATTTAATGCATTAAGATTGTTCTTAACTGAGCGAATTTGTTCTGCCCTTTCTTTGGATGGAGATTCTTTATTACTTTTTTCTAACTTATATAAAGAGACATGCATATCTGCTAAATTGTTTCCCCTTTTCTTGTCCTCAAATGCACCTAATTTAATAAACTGTCCCTGTATGACAGCCTTATATGCTAACCACCTACTCCCAGGCACGGAATCTTTATTTTCCGAGAAATAAAAATCTGTCATTTGGGTAATGTATTCTCTGTTATAGTCACTTCTCAAAAGGGATTCATTCAATCTCCACTGTCTAATAGTTTGTTTCTGATTATGTTGTAATTCCCACAGTACCGCATTGTGATCTGACCAGACTATTGATTTAATTAATACATTTTTAATGGAATTAGCCAATGAAATATTGCCTAGCAGCATATCTATTCTAGCAAACGAAACAATGTCTATAAGAAAAATGCGTGAAATCATATTCCTGTGGATGGAAAAGTCTCCAAACATCATACATAGCTACCTTTTTCAAAACAGTGGAGAAAGCTTTCGCCCTTCGATGTAATGCTGTATCAATTTGAACCCCTTTTTTCGTTCTCTTATCCCATTCTGTGTCCAAGATTTATCTGTTACTTCCCTCACAAAAGCCACTTGTCCTGAGTTAGGGGCATATATATTGGCTAGAGTATATATCTCATTATTCAATTTACATATCAATATAATGTATCTAGCCTGTGGGTCAGTTTCCTGATAAATAACTTCACATAGCATATCTTTCCCAATCCAAATTGCCACTCCACACTATTTCCTTTTCCTAGAAGAAGCCTTAACAACAAAAGCAGTTTGTTTCCCTAGATAATATTCCTTATTGCATTCAACCCAATGGGTCTCTTGTAAAAAGCAAACTTGTATTCTTTCTTCTTTAAGCAACTCTATAAGTGCCTTTCTTTTGTGAGGACTATTAAGACCCTGGGTATTTAGCGTGAGCATCCTAACCATAATTTAAAGCATCTTTCTTCATTTTTCTATCGGTGCCTGGTTTAAACAATACAAAACTTACAAACAAGAGCCTACCAGACTCATTAGAAAACCCAAAACCCCCAGTCCTTAATCCTCCCATAAGGACTATCAACATGCATATCCCGCATGTTCACAAAGAGTACTGAAACTACAAATCGTAGCTACTCTTTACAAGGTGACCCAATCAAGCTCAACTCGGACGAATTATTATTCTTAAAGTGATATATAAAGAAGAAATCTTGGCTCTAAAGTCAATTCATAATACATGGGTATCTTGTTGAGAAAAGAGCTTAAAGGAAGGAGAAGGAGAGAGAGAAAAAAATATATATATATATAAAATAAGTAATATAATCTACTCAGCTGATAATATTATCTATGAAAATATTTACCCTATTTTTCTTTTCTCATATTATAAAACTAATCATTAGCCAATTACTTCCAGATACTACTCAATACCAATTAATATTCAAAGATTATCTAAATTCCTATATTTCAATTACTTATTCTGTAAGTTATGAAATGACAATTTAGTGGATCAATGACCAAATGATTTCTACTATTTAACCACCCTTGCCAATTACAATTCAATAGTATAAGTGCAGACAAAACCTCCAGTATTTAAGTGTTTACTAAACCCAGATTGCATCCTCCTCAAACATTTAAACTACAGTAATATATATTCATGCTCTTATATTCCATAGTGACCCACAGCACATCAAATTTCAACTAGTAATGAGTGCATACGTAATAACAAAAATTATTTTTTTTTTAAATGATATATATGTATATATTAGTAAATAGTATTACCTATTCATATGTTGATAGTCCTTATGGGAGGATTAAGGACTGGGGGTTTGGGTTTTCTAATGAGTCTGGCAGGCTCTTGTTTGTAAGTTTTGTATTGTTTAAACCAGGCACCGATAGAAATATTTACCCCATTTATCCCATATAATAAAACTAATCATTAATCAATTACTTACAGATACTATTCAATTCAACTCCGTATTCATATTCAAAAATTATCTAGATTACTATATTTCAATTACTTATTCTGTAAGTCATAAAATGACAATTTAGTGAATCAGTGCCCAAATCATTTGTGCTACTTAACCAGCATTACTAATTATAATTCAATAATATAGGTGCAAACATAAACTTGATTACTTATTGCACTTATACACTATTTAAGTGTTTGCCAAACTCTAATTGCATCATCCTTAAACATTTGTCATACATTAATGGATATTCATACACTTGTATTCCATAGTGACCCACCGCGCATCAAAAAAACACCCCACAGCTACACAAAACTGCTTACCCCCTCTCCTCTCCCCATTCCCCTCTCCTTACTCCTCTCTATCAGCCTACTACTTTAGGTCATTTTTTTTAAGCCATAATAATGCCTTTTGGGGATCATCCAGCAGAATTATATCTTTCCCCCGCATCACTATTAATTTAACTGGGTAACCCCATTTATATCTTATCAGATTTTTTCTTAAGATATTAGTAATCGTTCCAAAGGCTCTTCTGCTTTGCCGGGTATGCCATGACAGGTCTTGAAATAATTTCAAATTCAAGTACAAGTACTGGTCCGTATTTTCTGAGTTAGTTCTATGTTTAATTAGTACTTGATCTTTATACCAAAATTGATGGAAACATACAATTATGCCTCTGGATACAGTCTCTGGTAGCCCCTTGGGCCTAGGGAGACGATGTTTCTGTCCATTACTTTTGTAGTTGACTCCATCTCCAAACCTAGCTCACCAAAGAAAGAAGCAAATACTCCTCTAATTTCCCTTCAGAAATTTGTTCACTTATTCCTCTAATACGTATGTTGTTCCGTCAACAACGATCTTACAGATCGGATAATTTTTGTTCCATCACATTATATTTCTTAGCAAGCTGCTCGTATTGAGATTTTAGCTCCCCCTGCAGGTAATCCACTGCCCCTAGTTTTTCTTCTATATTCACCACTTTCTGGTTTAACAGAGCAATATCTCTCTTGATTTCTTGTACATTGGATTGTATTACTAAAGTCATTTTATCACACAGTTGCTGTTGGGTCTTATCCAATATATCAGAGAATACTACTTAAAACTCTTTGCTCATGGTTACGTTTGTTTCGCTGTCTTCAACTTGAGTAAATGACGTTCCCTCCTCGCCATCTTTTTTCCCAGGAGATTGAGCCGAGAAAAAAATCAGACAACCGTCTCGGATCTTTAATTTATTTTTTGTCTTTTTTTAAAGTTTTGTTTTCAGGGTTCTTCTTGGAGGTAATTTTTAATAAAAACCTGCTTACCCCAATCACCACCAGAGAAAAAGAATATTCAGTATGGTTTCTATGCCTAGTTGTATAATTAGTTTTAGCCAACACCCTGTAGCCAATATTCAGTATAAGCAGTATATTGATATATGTGATAGAGACCACAGACCAACAATAACCAGCAGCGTCCAGCAGTATTGCAGTATTCAGATATATATAATACTCATCTTGTGGGGAGTTTTGAAGATGCCTGCTTCCCGCTCAGTTCCCAAGCATTCAGACACTTTCTCTCAACGCTCTGCGAGCTTGCTCTGTTTATTGCTGCATCCTTTAATTAACTCAGCCTCTTGTGTTTGGGTGTTTTCCGTCTGCCTGTCACTGCTTAGACTTTTGAAGACTTCTCTTGTACAACTGCCTTTCTAGCATGCTGCCCTTTGCATAGCTCCGCTTGCTTCCTCATATGCCTCGCTCGCTCAGATCGCCCCACCGGAAGCGTGCGTATGTCCTACGTCATTGCTCCTCCCACCATGGATAAACTATGTGTTCTGACCGGAAACCAAAGCTTTTGAGGAGAGGTACGGTAGGTACGTAGACATTTAGAACCACCACACATGATGCAACAATCCAAGGTATATATTTGATTCTGGTATGCACTATATAACAGCTGACATGTGGATCAGGTTGTTATCAGATGATAAACAGAAAGTAGCCCTGAGAATCCTTATAGGGAAATATCTTCCAGCATGAAGATGTTAAAAAAATAGAAGATAAGCAAAATATAAAAAGAAAGCAAAATATTAAATACGTAGATTCAGAAAATTGTCTTTGTAGAGGTGCTAATAACATTCTATACATAACATGTATAACACTCTTAAGTAAGCACTCTAGTTACAGAATGTATTTGTGTAAATGTATGTCATGAACAAAGAATGGACTATCTGAGCACAAATTATCTCAGACCTTACAGGTAAAATTGGAAACATATAACAATAGCATCCTGTATAAAAGTTTTAGAAAATTGTATAACACATAAATGTTTCAAAAAGCAGCTTTCCTCTAAGGGTGGGGAGACTCCTGAGTGTGCCATCGTTCAAGCTCAAGGCTTCATTAATTGTTAACAGGCAATGTTATGGTTCTTCAACATCTTAACTTAGACTAGTTTACAGCATCTCATACTGGTTGTCACCAATAAATTGGCATATCTGAATATGGTTCTCGGAATTTTTTTAAGTATCCATGCTGTTTTGACATGCAGTTGTAGGCCTCAAAGCTTTGGAAGCCTATAAGTTTTATGGAGCAACCATCATTTTTGCCAACAGTTGGTAATAAAGTTCTGATACGGTCCAAAGTGCATCTGTTGTGACTGTTACTGGTATACACTGGATAGTCACATAGTATTGTTACCAACTGTCCTCCATATCTACTACCTTTAGAAGATGCTTGGACTGATCCTTTTTGAGCACCCCAAACCTGTCTACAGATTCAATATGAGCAAGGCTTTCATTTCTCTGTGAATGTTTGTGGTGGTTGAACGGCAATCTGCTTGAAGTGTGGTTCTAACATCTCGAACTTCAACAGGAGTTTTATTTCAGATCCAGGTAGTTTGTCTCATTACCTAGATTTTGACGCTTGTGTCATGGGTGACATTTCTGCATAGCTTGGACTGTTCATTTAAAAATAGCACCCTGGCACAGATTGGATGAGCAGACCAAAGCATGTCTATGAGGATCTCGACCAACAAAATTTTGGATTTGTAGAATTTGTTAATTATGGAAGGTCAAGTAAGAGGAAGTTACAGTAAGCCTGATAAAGATGATGGACTGAATAAAGATGATTACAGTGCATAAAATGATGAACAGGCAGATTTATTTGAATGTAAAAGAGAATAAAACAATGGTAACTGTGCATATGCCTGAGTTATTACAGAAGCCTAGACCTTGAATCTGGCTAATCAGACAGAAGTGGTAGAAGTAGGAGCTTAACTTTTTCTTTCCTTAGAGAATTTCATAACTAAACTATAAACATTGCACATTAAATATATAAAATATGCCAATTTCTCTCTGGTATGCATAGACTGAGAACTGCTTGTTCATGCTAGGATGTCTCTCATTGGCAAGACCATCCCCCAGACTGATACTAATAAGAGATTAAAGAATGAGAAGACAACTTCGAAAAAAAAATTCTGCTTTATTTTTATAAATGTACTCTTTTGGATTTAACCAGAGTCTGTGTCAAAATAATCAGTGTCATGGTTGGCACATTTTAAGATTTTTGGGGAAATGCATTTCTCATTTCTCATTTGTATCAACTCAAAGATCTTAATCTTTATTCAGACCTCCCAAAACCTTAGTAATCTAAAGAAAGAAAAGGTGACTCAAGAAAAAGTTCTTTGTAATCTCCTTAGTACATTCTTTCTGCGTTTATATTGTATCATACTTTGCCTTCTTTATAGCAAATGTCCAAATGTATAATTTCCAATAGCATTTTGAAACCAAACCTGTTATATTTTTACACCCCATTGATTTTTTTTTTGTATTTGTGCTCATCTGTTTATTTATTGCAAATTAAATATCACCATTTTTCGTGCCTCTCTAACACAATACATGGTTGACAAAGCAACCAGTAATTTTCTGATAATGAACTATTAACTTTTGTGTTAGCTCGAATGAATTGCAAACATCGCAAAAGATAAAACAGAGCATGTTTGGGTATGACAGGAATTCATTTACATATATTTATAAAGTCTTTTCCAGGTTTTTTTTTTTTTTTTTTGCAAATCTGTTTTTAAGTAGTTTTCATTGAATACAGGAATAGAAAAGAGTTCAGGTTGAGACTCGCAGGTCTCTGTTGCAGTGTCCGCACAACAAACACTGCATTGCGTGCGTTATCGTATATGCAGAGGAAAACAGGAGAGTTGACAAACGGAATCGCAATCAATCACTGTGCTTCCTATAACTTTACACTATTCTGTGGGAAGCAGCTCAAGGTGCAATTATCAGTACTTGCATTACATGAAATATCATCCACTGCTATAGCCTCCGGAAGTGTGTCACGCGGAAACCCCTGGTTACAGCCCCATGTATTTTTGAACCGGGATATTGGCCTTGGCTGCATTTAGTAAGTGGCGCAAGATCAATTTCTTAGAGTGAGATCGGTTGTGGAGAGATATGCAGTAGGGCGAGGTCGGCTGACCATTCAGGTATGTCCCCTAGAATCAGTATCACGTTATCTTTTACCATCTCCCAGTATGGAACTATGTCACGACATTCCCACCAAATGTGTAGCATTGTTCCCCTCTCCGTTTGGCATCTCCAGCATGTCGGGGGGGACCGATGGGAAGATTCAAAGTAGTAGGGTCGGCGTTTTATACCAGATAGTTTATAATTCATCTCCTGGCAGAGAAATTGAGCTGTGGGACTGCAGGTGTATGGTCTATACAACAAAATTGCTTCATTAAACTAAAGTTGTTCTAGAGGTACGCAGTTAATATCTATTTTGTATAAATCGAGGACACTCCTAATAAAAAATGTAAGGAACGCTCACAGCAAAGACAAGGATATTATTATTATTGCTGTTTATTTAGCGCCAACAGATTCTGTAGCGCTTTGCAATATTATAAGAGGGGGGATTTAACTATAAATAGGACAATTACAAGAAAACTTACAGGAACAATAGGTTGAAGAGGTTACAGTCTATAGCAGGGTTTCTCAATTTTTCTGTTGGAACCCTTTTAACGTGGTATAGCAAAACTTTGGAACCCCAACAAAAAAATGTGTGCCGTAGCGCAGCGCAAACCTTTTAATGAGCAGAGTGTATGTTCTCTTTTGCTGGCAAATTATTTTTATATCTGGTTTAATTGTTGACAATTGTATTCGCATGTCTGCAGTTGCGTCAAGTCGATTTCGATAATTTGTTTTTGCTGCAGAGTAGAGCGAGAATCCAGTTTCACATAAGTAGTTAATGGAATATATTCAAAGCTTGGACTTGTCACCAGTGGGGTACCTCAGGGATCTGTACTTGGACCCATTCTCTTTTAATATTTTTATTAGTGATATTGCAGAAGGTCTTGATGGTAAGGTATGTCTTTTTGCTGATGATACTAAGATATGTAACAGGGTTGATGTTCCAGGAGGGATAAGCCAAATGGCAAATGATTTAGGTAAACTAGAAAAATGGTCAGAATTGTGGCAACTG